GGTCCTCAATCGATGGTAGCTATTCTAGGTAGTCGGGAAGGTTCTGTTTATTTCCCCTTTCTGCTCTTGTGGTCTGAGTTTATTTAAGCTGTGTGATGTCTGCTTACCTAAGAGATTGAACTAGTTTCTTATGCTTGATGTATGCAACATGGCTTGGTATATCAGCACTAAATGGCTTGACTGCTTAAGTTTTTGTTGCCTAGTGGATACATCAAAGACATGGCACAAGATGTAACAAAGTAGGAAGTGTGTAAGTCTTTTGAGGGTGATTGTGTTACCTCTTACATGTCTCCTCATGTTGACCCTCATTTATCTTATCTATAGAGGGGGGGCTTAGTTTAGGATCTATCTCTATGTAATTTTTCTGAAACCAATGGTTTACCCTAAAATTATGAGGGTCAAGGGAATGAGCAGAATCTTCATTCTCATCTTGTACTGCCCATTTCCTCCTCTCATCACTACTCTCTAAACACCAGTTCTCGCTATTTATATCCAGTTTTATTGCCTTTGCTTCTTTGCTGAGACAAGGTCTCACACTAGAGACAAACACGCCTAGACTTACAACACAGCCTAGGCTAGCCTTAAACTCCTGGAAATCCTCCTGTCTCGGCTTCCTGAGTACTGGGATTGCAAGTGGGAGCCACCATGGCTAGCTTTTGGCATTTTAATGTTTGGTTAAAATAGCTAACACAAAAGCAGCCTTTATCAGCTTTGGAATAGTAAAGTCAATGAACTCGCTCCTGAAACAACTTGGGAATTCCTTCTAGAAGGACACTGGAAAATAGTGCATGGAACTCCCCACCTGCACTGTGTTTCATTTGTAACAGATCTCCTAAAATCTATCATGGTTTAGACTTGAGTGTCTTCCAAAATGCTTGTGTGTTAAAGCTCTCAGTGGATGGGCTCTGGCTTCATCCGCGGATTCGTTCATTAGTGAATGATTAAATGGGTTGCTCTATTGGAAGGTGGGGCAACTATTTGAAAGTGGGGCCAAGCTGGAAAGAAGAAGTCATGAGGGTGGGCCCTTGATGGTCTGAACCTCCCTCCTTCTCTCCCTCTGTCCTTCCTGTGATGGCCTCCTCTCCGTCCGTCCACATGCTCCTCCCACCATGGTGTTCTAGTCTACCTCCTAGCAATGGAGGAAGCCAAGCCGGAGCTAAACCTCTGAAACCGTGAACAAAGATCTCTTCCTTTGAAATCATTTAAGATCTTTGTCACACCCATGAGAAATTGACTGGCATGGTGTCGGCGCGGGAAGATGGACTTGTTCTGTGGCATCTGTGAACAGGGCGGGGCAAAGGTGCTTGTAGGGAACCATGTTGAGTTCCTTCTGCCTCCTGCACCACCTTGACCCTCGCACTCATATCCAGAGGGGCTAGAGAGGGGCAAGTGGGCGGGGAGCCGCCAAGGGGATAGGGAGACAAGCGTCTCATTCATCCACACAATGGAACAATGAAAGCCACATCTGCTGCGTCTGCCCTCCTTGTCCAGTGTCTGTGCGCTGCTCTGTGAAGCAGTTTGGCCACACCATTGACAAGGGGGAGGTATGCTCACTGACTGAAGCAGAGTCTCCAGAGGAAAGCCATGTCGTTTATAGGGAGTATGATGGATACATCTAAATGGTCTCGAGGCACCGTGCCCACACTAACGGTTAGTTTGGCAGCATCCACATCCAGCTTCATCCTTACCATAGTCGTCATCTGTTCAAAACTGGAGTCAGAGCTGCCCTGCTGGTTTCAGTAATCCTGAGATGTGAGTCTAAGGTGCTATTATCCTGAGTTCTCGCTCCTACCCTGACAGCCCTGATTATATATCGGTGGATAACTTGTTGTACTTCAGAATCTCCTCCTATCGAGACCAGGCAAGCCTGATACCAGATGTCCGCTGACTCGGAGGTCAAATTGCTGTCGCATCTTCAGCTGTTAAGGAGAACGGCCCAGTTTCATCACTACCTTGCCAGATCTCTGTTCTAAATATCTAATTACGTGAACTTTTAAAACTGTGATTAAACAGTAGCCAGCCAGGGGGGAGTTGGAAAGAAATGGGTCTCGTCACTGACTTGAGATTGATGGTCCTCCCATGTGCTGCAGAAATGACTGAGCCTCTCTGCTCTGTGTTCCAGGCTTTGCGGAAAAACCCAGAAGAAAGGATGTGGGGAAGGAAAAGATGACATTGGCGCAGGGCCAACAGAACGCAAGGATCCTTCCAGTGAGAACAGACTGAGGCCGTGAGAGAAGCTGCTGGTCAAAGGTGCGTGCTCAGTTCTGTGAATACCAAAGCCTTGGGTGTGTCGGTGAGCACATTCAGAGGCGTTCGCTGGGGACAGAGGAAAGCTCACACTACCATAACCATCCAAACGTCTGTGTTGCCATTGATGAGGATGAAGAATACAGTTACCCTTCTGTAACTGGAAGCTTTCCTGTGTGCCGCCTGGCCTGTACCCGAATGACCAGTCAGAGGCTTAATATTAATTGCAAACTGTTTGGTCTACGGCTCAGGCTTACTGTGAGCTAGCTATTACATCTTAAATTAATCCATGTCTATTAATCTATGTATAGACATGTGTCTCCTGGCTTCACCTGTGTTCTGTTACATCTTGCTCCCCTGGCAGCCGGCAGCGTCTCTTCTGACTCCACCCCTCTCCATCTCCAGCTTCAGTTTGAATGGACCACCTAACTTTTTCTGCCTCACATTGGCTTTATTTATCGGCCAATGAGAGGAACACATTCACAGCATACAGAAAGACCATCCCACAGCACCCTTCCATGTTGAAATAAAAGCAAATGCCCCAAAGTTGACTGATAAACTCCCATTTTATAGAGGTTCTCTTCCCAGAGAGAAAAATAAACTAAAACTAAAAGAAAAAGAATTTAAAAAATTTTAAATAGCAACTGTTCTGCACTTTAGACAAATTGCCTATAATATGTTGCTAAAATTCTGCACAAGCATTCTACTTGTGAAGTTTTTTTTTCTTTAAAAATTGTGTGTGTGTGTGTGTGTGTGTGTGTGTGTGTGTGTGTGTGTGTGTATGGGGTGTTTTGCCTGCATGCATGTCTATGCACCAAGTGCATGCCTGCTGTTCACAGAGGCCAGAAAAGAGCATCAGAGTCCCTGGGATGGGAGTCCCTTGGGATAGTTGTGAGCCACCATGTGGGTGCTGGCAATCAAACCCAGGGCTCTGGAAGAGCAGTTGGTACTCTGTACCACTGAGCCGTCTCTCTGGCCCCAAATTATTTTATTTGTATTCACAGTTAAACACTTAACTAGCTCAGGACTGATGGACAGATGAACAAAGCTAATGGTTGATATTTAATGATTTTGTCTGTTCTTTGACAAATCCCTTCATGTATATAACATATATGTATATGTGTGTGTATATCATACACAAATGAATTTGATCATAGCAAATCCCATTCCTCCTTTTCTCCTTATCCAACCCTTCCAACACTAATTTCCTCTTTATTCTTTTTTAATAACTCACTAACTCCAACTAGTGCCGCCCATATGTGCAGAGGCATGGGGCTACCACTAGAGCATGGGCAACCTCCCAGGGACCACAGCCCTAGAGAAAATTGACTCTTCCCTCTTCAGCAGCCACCAGCTGCCAATAGCAGTTCAGGTAGGGCTGGACCTCAGGATCCTCTCCTCTACTCATGCTGGGAATTTTGACCAGATTGTAACTGACTCATATTCTTTCTTCCCTCTTTTCCATGATTCTGTCCTTTTTCTCTATGTCTTAGGGTAGGATAGGGTTAAAATAAATGGCCTGTTTAGGGCTAAACATTCAACAGTCACTTATTCTCAGCTCTTTGACCCATTACAGATAAGATATCAGAAAGTCTAAGTGGTCACTGAGTCCTAGGTTTGGTATCCGAACTCTTCCCACAGAATTGGCTGGAAAGGCATTAAGAACTATGTCCTGTTCACCATCAGGAGTCACTGGGGAAATGGGAACCATACTGTGGGCTGCTGGGATGGTTCAGGAGGAAGAGTGCTGTATAAGCATGAGGCCTGAGTTCAAATGGCCATGTAGGAAAGTCAGACATGGGTGTGTGTGTGTGTGTGTGTGTGTGTGTGTGTGTGTGTGTGTGTGTGTGTGTGCCTTTAATCCCAGCACTATGGAGGCAGAAAAAGGAGGACCCCTGAGATGTGCTGGTTGCGAGCCTAACTCAGTTTCAGTGAATGGCCTTGTCTCTAGGGAATAAGAGGGGAATGCTAGGGCAGAGCACCTGTGGCGGCTTGAATAAGAACGGCCCCCATCCCTAGGCTCACAGATTTGAAAGCTTGGTCAGCAGGGCGTGGCACTATTTGAAAGGATTAGCAGGAGTGGCCTTGTTGAATGAAGTGTGTCATGGGGGGGTGGGCTTTGAGCTTTCAAAAGCCTAAGTCAGCCCCAGTCTCTCTCTCTTCCTGTTGCCTGCTGACCCAGATGCACTCTCAGCTACTTCTCCAGCTCCAAGCCTCCCTTCATGTCATGGACTAAACCTCTGAAAGTGTAAGCTAGCCCAGTTCAGCGCTTTCTTTGATAAGAGTTCCTCCGGTCCTGGTGTCTCTTTCTAGCAACAGAACAGAGACTAAGACAGCGCCCATGTCTGTCTCTGTTCTAGCTTCAGCATGTGCACAAGCAGGGGCACAGGTACACACACGTCTGTGTGTACACACATTCACACACACATACATCTGTACGCGCACACACGCACACACACATACGTCTGTATACACACACACACAAATTAGAATGGCTGGTCGCTGTTTGAAAACAGTGCAGTAGAGAAGTAATTCATTGTGCGGGTAAGGCTGTGGGGAAATCAGAATCTTTGCACACTATGGCAGGAATGTGAAATGGTGTAGACACTGTGGGAAACAGTGGAAGTCGTGTGGCTCTCTCTCAAAATGCCTAACAGAATCACTACATCAGCCAGAAAGTCACCTCCGGCTGTCTCCTTCACAACACTGGCCAGCAGGGACCAATGCTTTCTCTCTGTGCCTTTCATTGTTTTGACACGGAGTCTAGCTACATAGCACACTCTGGCCTTGAACTCACGACCTTCCTGCCTCAGACTCTGAGTGCTGGGATTACACTTGCGTGCTTCCACACCTGGCTCTTCAGCAGTCTAATTAACAATGACCAAAAATGAAAACCTCCAAAGAGGCTCAGCAGTAACTGAGTAGACAAACAATATCTAGAAACACAGTCAATGGAGTATTATTCAGCCTGCAAAAAGGCATGAAATTCTGATCCATGTTCCGTGGATGAACTTTGAAGGCAGCATGCTCAGAGAAAAGCAGTTATGAGAGAAGGAGCACTGTGGGAGTCCACTTCCCTGGGGTGTCTGACGCAGTCCTAGGCAGAGAGAAGGCAGTAGTGGTTTCCAGGAGCTGTGGAGAGACACGGAGAGCAACGCTTGAGACCATGTCAAGTGTAGAGTGTTCAACTCCCGAGAGCTGTCCTCCAACTCACATGCACACTAAAAATAATAAAATCAAATGGATAGATGAGTAAAACGCAATTAAAAAGTAAGTGGCTTCAGGGATCATTTTTATTTATATTGACCCTGATTTTGTTTTTAGATACTGACAAAAAAAAATCCTTTTTCCAAGAAAACATGTCAATGGTTTAAAATGTCACCTTAATATGCTTTATTCATTGCCAAGATTGGTTAGTAATTTCATGACCCTAAATAAAAAGTACAACATTTTGATGTACTTTAGTGTGGCGGGGAAGAGAGGAAGGGACAGGGTCACACATGTGTGTGCTGGTACATGTCAAAGCCAGAGGATCGTCTCAGGCATCATCCATGATGGTTTTTTTGTTTGTTTGTTTTGTTTTTTTTTTAGTATGTAAAGTGGACTTGGCCAAGTATTCTGTGCTGGGGAGTCCAAGCATGGATCACCATGCCTGGCTTTTTTGAAAGTGAATTGAGCTAGCTCATAGGTTAAGAGAACTCACCGTTCCAGAGGACTGAAGTTTGGCTTCTAGCACTCACATCAGGCAGCTCACAACTGCTTGTCACTCCAGCTCTAGCCTCTTTGGGCCCCTGCACTCATGTGCACACACTGACATAGACACACACGCATACACATAACTTAAACGTAGGAGAGATGGCTCAGTGGCTAAGAGCACTTGTTCTTGCACAAGAACTGGGTTCGAGTCCCAGGACCCCTGTGGCAGCTCACAACCATCTATAACTCCAGTTCCTGGGGACCCAATACCCCCTTGCAACTTCCATGGGCACCAGGCACACACATGGTGCACAGAGATACAAGTGAGCAAAACATGTGTATGCATAAAACTTAAAAATCTAAAAAAATTAATAATAAAAATGAAGGCAGGTTCGGGGATCAAACTTAGATCCCTGTGTCTGAGAAGCAAGCCCCCTGGCAGCTGAGCTATTTCCTCAAAACCCAGACCTCTGAAGTGATGCTTCTTACTCCCAAATTAGAAAAAGTAAAGAGAAGTCAACATGTTGCTCTCTAACTTCCAGTCAAGTACTTAACTTCCGGGTTAAGTACTTTACACGTATTTGCTCAACGAAGCCTTTATAGAGCGGAGAGATGCTGTCATTTCCGTATCACGGATGACAGCATTGAGAACAGGGAGGCTATGTAACACCCCCAATGTCACACAGCGAGGGAGAAGCAGAGTTGGTCTGGGGGGATGGCTCCAGAGCTGCTGACCTCCCAGCCCCTGTGTCTTGAGGACTCCCACTCCGAAAGCTCCAGAGGCAGGAAAGCATTGTACGCAGTGAGAGTGTTTCAAGCATTCCTGTCTGGAGAGCTGGGAGGCCTTGAAGGAATTTGATTTTCTGCAGTACAGTTCTCACCCGAGGTCTATGAAGGCTTCGTGTATAGCTGGAAGAAGACTTTTTAACATTCAGACCTCTTACTAGCTACAGTCACGATACAGAACAAAAGAAGGCTGCGTACCGAAAATGCAGGTTCTCGGAGGCTTTGACAGGGAGATTCGGTAGACGAAATATCCATGAAGTTTCTTTCCACACTGAAGGGAAAACCAGGAGTGCGCATTCCTTCCTTCCTTCCTCTGAAGATCCACGGCCCCGCAGAACCGGAAGATGAGAAACAAGCACGGCTCCGGTCAAACAAACTGGGGAGCTAAAGGGAATTTAAGTTACTTTATGGCAAGAATGCTCAGACACTTAGAAAACATCGTGAATCACCAAGAAAAGGATAGAATTTGTACGATTACACAATACAAAGTTGTTCTTAGCTATTTTATCCCGGAGTCCTTCTTCTATGGAAAATCATGAGGGGGCCTAGCCACACTTTCTGGCAGGCTTTTTTAAGTAGGAATTTTCCCGATCCACCGCTAGGGGTCAGTCATGCCCCATCCGGTGCCACCCCTGCCCTTCCCTGTCCTCACTGAACATTTACCAAATGACACTTGGCACACTTGAGGCAGACTGGAATTTCAAGAAGACTTTGCTCATGTTCAAGGGATGCATGAGGCAGGTATGAAAACGAGGAGCCCACCAAACAGCCGCACTTCCAGAGCCTCTGCCTCAAATCTGTGCTCGCCGGGGGTTCTCAGGCCCCATTTTTCCTGGAGACGTGGCCTTTCTGTCATCCCAGGAGCATCTGTGGGCCTCGTGTGGCCCCTGAGGAGAAATCCCTCAGACCCAGTGAGAACCCCACCTCCTCTTCCGGTTTAAGCTTCTATTTCCTGTCAGGCCTGGTTGGCCACTCTGAGGAAGCTGCTGGGAGCCATGGATGGCACTTGATCAGTGACCCCGGCCTGATTAGAGCTAATATGCCTAAATGTGGGAGCAGTCCTCCTTTCCCATGTCAGGACAGACATCATCAATCTCCCACACCACCCTTTGGTCACAGAATTCAAAATGGTCTCAGGATCCCTTCCTGACCCAGGCAGACATTTTTAATCAAAGGCTATTAGTTAGCATGACGAGAAAACTCTCTCCTTGAAGAAGGCTAAGATGTAGGTGATTTTATTGACTTTCTCTAACCTTCTACTGGACACACACACACACACACACACACACACACACACAGAAAAGTTGGCAAAATATGGTGGCACATGCATGTAACCCCCACCCCTGGGGAGACTGAGGTAGAAGGATCTTGAATTCAAGGTCATGTCTCAATAAAATGGTGTTTTGCTTTGATTTTTCTATTTCTGGCCCACGGGAAAGTGCGTATCTCTACAGCCTCAGCTTCTCTTTACTATAGCTTCCCCAAGACAGCTCACCCAGGTGCCACACCTAATTGAAACAGGGATGCTACTACATCCCAGCATCAGCCACAGGCCCAAACCTAGGCCACCCTGTGGCTTACCTTCTGATTCCAGATAATGTCATATGACACATGCCCATTTTAATTAGTAAGTCCATGGGGTTAGCCAGTTCTGTGAACAAAGTGCTGAAAAAAACAGGTGTGTGTGTGTGTGTGTGTGTGTGTGAGAGAGAGAGAGAGAGAGAGAGAGAGAGAGAGAGAGAGAGAGAGAGAGAGAGAGAGTAATTT